ATCTGTGTCAACTTGCTAAAATCTGTAGAGAAATGTCAAATTGTCATGTGTAATGAATAACGTTGAGATTTTGCAAGAATGTTGTTACCCTGTTTAGACTCACTTGAACAATCATTGAACAAACTATCATAATTTGTTTAACTGATTTCAAAATGTGTGATTGATTCAGTTCTTGTGTACAAGTAATAATTTTGTGGTTTCACCGTCATAATGGCCCTCCGAGGGAAGACACAACTCCAAATTGGCCAGCAACTAAAATGAGTTTGACACCCCTGACCTACAGTAAACTTTTTAACTGAAATATATCATTTCACATTTCCTCTCTAGGTGTCTTTGTTTAAGGGCTTTTCACACTTGCAAAACTTGTACTGCAGAATATTTGTCTTCTTCTGAGTTAGCTGGTTTAAGCTTATAAACACACAGCCATGAGCTAGCTGTATCATATTATGTTGCATGCTAAAATGCTAGCTGCCTAAAGTCTAGTTGCACAGGCTGTTTAAGCCTCTTTGTATTTATTTTTGATAAAGTAACTGCCACGGTCTGGTTAAATGTTATAATACATTACACACACACACACACACACACACACACACACACACACACACACACACACACACACACACACACACACACACACACGCACACACACACACACACACACACTGGATGACTGGTTTGCATGCCGGCCTCAGAGTGCAGAGGGGCAGGGTTCAATTCCAGCTCCGGCCTTCCAGGGTGCCGTTTGCATGTTCTCCCAGTGAGTGGGTGGGTTTTCTTTGGGTACTCCAGTTTCCTCCCACATTTCCAAAACTTGCGTGGCAAGTTAATGGAACAATCTAAATTGTCCCTAGGTGTCATTGTGAGCGTGAATGCCTTGTTCGTCTATGCATGCCCTGCGATTGGTTGCCAACCAGTTCAGGGTGTCCCCTGCCTACTGCCCGATGATGGCTGGGATAGGCTCCAGCATGCCACTTGTGAGGATAAGCGGATGAGAAAATGGATGGATGGAGCACACACACACACACACACACACACACACACACACACACACACACACACGCACAGACACCTTGTGTAACTTTTCTCATTGTGACACAATGTAAAAAAGAGAAAGGGAGAGGTAATCGTAACATGAGATTTTGACTCCAATCGATTACGTTAGCATTTTCTGTTGTCGTTTCGTTTGCCCAAAAGGGCTCCAACGCTTTTAGACAAATATTCTTTGGCAAAAATGTAACTTCTTGGAAGGTGTTTGGCCCATTACATGATAAAAATAATAAAGCCTTTAATAAAAAGAACATCATGCCAACGGTCCAAAACATTGCCCCCTCCCCGCCCCCTCCCAAAAAAATGAATAAAGAAACTGCAAAATAAACTGGTGGAGTTGAAATTGTGTATATTAAATGGAAGTTCCAGGAGGTGCAGTTCTTTTTAAATTTGTTGACGCCACGTGTGCCGATTATGGTTTGACAGTTTTTGTATGACTTGAGGTGTGTTTTTTCTACAAAGCCTTAGTTGAACTCGTGATTGTTCGACTGAAGAAGCATCTCCACCTTGCTCGGAACTGGCCTTAAATGTGTGGTCACAAGAGCAACTGTTGAGCAATTTGAGAGAACAGGATGGCGGCCCTGTGGAAGGTTTTAGGTTTAGATTCCACAGCTTATTCCAGGAGCCATATTATTAGACTGAGCTGGGCTAAGTTTTGAGATAGCAGGTGATGTGGCCATGATATATATATATATATATATATATATATATATATATATATTTTTTTTTTAAATAATTTGTCATTTAAAGGCTCAAGTCATCTCAGAGTAAAGAGCACATATCAAGCATTATTTGGAAGGTTTATTGTGAAAGCAACGAAGATATACAATTTGAGTGGAAATATGAAGTGTGCATGAGTGGCTATGTGTACTTTTATTTGTTGAAATTGAATGCACATACTGTTATTGTTCCGACTTTATCTTCAGCGTTTTCTCATTCGACATTCATACCAGCAATGAAATGGGTTGCTGATAAAAGGTGACATTTCAAACATGTAGTAAGTAAAAATGTTTTCAATTTGAATTTCTGTAATGTTTCCTCTTTAAGAGAGTGAAGTAGAATTTCGAATCATTTTTCCTGGAAAATGCATATTGTCAGTTCATCAGTGGTTGAAAATTCATTTCAATGACGGTCAGTTATTGATACATTTTCACTGTTTGCAAGCCTATTTTATGACAAGTCTGACACCTCTGCCGACTCGATTTTAAAGAACGACTAGCGATAAATTTAGTGACTCACTCTGATGTTATTGAAGACTTTTGGAGACTCTGAAACTCCCTGACTCATTATCATACTGGGAAATGTTTACGACCTCTGGGACATGAGTGCAAATGAAATGCACTTGTGCAAAACTGCTACTGTCTGGTTTGACAGCCGCACCACACAAATATAATTGTGTTTGTGCACATTGCACATGTGCAATAATAAAGGTGGACAATGAAGAAAAAAAAACACATTCATGCAGATGACATACAACTGTTTATCACCATTTCTTCTGATCACGCAGGGCCAGTTGAGACCCTTCTTCAATGTATTTTCGATATTGAGTTATGGATGGCAGTTGGACCGTCACAATTAACGAATCCTTTTGGAATAGATTATCTTATTGATGATTCCAGCCATGACTTTGTGGGTGACACAACCGAGTTGGTCAACTTAATTTTCCCAACACTCGGTGACAGCGAATATCCTCCAGCTCAACGTGGACAAAACAGGTTTTAGTGATTGGTCTTGAAGGCAAGAGAGAAAATACTTTTACCAAAATTACAATTTAAATTGTGTACAAAACCTGGGTGTTATTTTTGACTCTGAACTTCATTTCATTCCCCACCTTCAGAATGAAACCAAAATACATTTTTAACATCTATCAATCTAACACAGAGGTGCTTGTACATGCTTTTAGCTCATGTATTTAGATTATTGCAAAGATCTGGTCTTTCAAAAAGAAGGTTCTCAAATCTACGATGACTCCACACATCATGAGGAGTTTACCCAAGTCTCCCCGTGTCAGAGTTGTCTTTGTGGCATCATCCTCTGTGATTGCGGACTCTCGGTGCAGATTTTTCCCACCAGTGCTTTAAATGGGTTGGTACACAGTGGTATGGACTAACAGCACTTCTCCATTTTAGCCTCTCGCGTACCGGGAATTTTTAAGGGCATAATGGGACTTCACATGAGCCCACAGTGCCCTCTCTTGTGCTATTTCTCTCTTGCACTTTGTGATACTCCCACAACTCGAGTCATTAGGGTAACTCAGTCATGCACGGACGGGAGGACTGTGTTCTTGTTTATTTGTTGTTGTTGTTTTTTTTTGTTTGTTTTTTTTTCAATTGATTGTTTTTATTCCTAAAGCACTTTCTGTTGCATTCTCAATGTATGGAAAATAGAAAAGTGCTTTACTCATAAAACTGGATTTTATTTGACAAGTGATAAATCTTTGGTAAGGAACTGACCGTATGAGAGCATGAAGGAGGCAAGATTTTGGATGTTCGTTAGCGTGCAAGATTCAGTTTCCATTTCCGGGCACGTCCAAGCACTGCCCTTACATAAGTGGAAACAACAGGTGTTCGCAAAAGTTAGACAGCATTAATCCTGGGAGAGGGCAAATTTAGCATATGTGATATGAGTGCAGTCAAACGACATCCTCCAGTGTTGTGTGTTTATGGCTTTGCGTTTTGTTTCATGTTGTGCCCGCTGCTTGTTGCACACAAAGCTGTTCATCAGGCGCCACGTTCTGTACTATATTTGAACCCTGTTGTCTTTGGCCTCCCAACGTGCCTTTGGATCAAGATTCTCTGGGTCGAGTCTCCTGTGTGAACAGCTCTAGCCAACAGGATGTGAAGGCAGGCCCAGAATGTAGCGGGAATCTTGGTTGAGGTTTGTTTTTACCAGTTCTTTCTTGCAGAGAGGGCTGCATATTCACTTTTGTTCCGATCAACTACAAGAATGAATGAGCAGCACTCCCGACTCCAAACTGCACCACTTTGTTTACAGACTCACCTGGCAGTTATTCAAGCCTCTTTCCAAAAGTGTCTCTTTCCTGTTCCCACATTTTTTTGGCATGAAAATAGGAAGAAAATGACTTGACACCCGGCTGAGTGATTAAAAAGTCTATCTCCTTTGCACTGCTTAGAGGGGCTTTGTCATTCAAGGTCTGTATCCATCCGCTTCATTTCCAGTCATTGATGTAGCAACTACAAGAAAATGTTGAAAAAAGTATAAATGTTTTCATTAAAGGTCTGTTCTGTGGTGCTGAAAGAGTGTCATGCCCTGGTTCTGGCTATCCATCCCTCTCATGTGTTTTCATTGAGGCTCTGTTCAAAGCTTGGCACGATATTCACTGTCATTCTTTTCTTTCTTTCTTTTTTTCCCCTTTTTTTTTGTTTCTGGAAATACTTCTTAAGGCCCAAAAATATATACATGACTTGTCTAAGTTTGGGAAAAAGCAACAATTTTTACTCTATGTGCAACAGCTACAAATTCAGTGCTTGATTAAAAAAAAAAAAAAAACGTCTGCGCCCTAACTGTTGATGACTCTTGTTCTTGCTCCACAACCCTTCTTCAAGAAAACAGTCCAAAATTAGTGCATTTTTGTGTCAGAAATGTTTTGCATTGATCACTTAGTTTGTAATTAATGAAGAGTCGACAGAAATTAGGTAATATGTTCACCCCTACGAATATATAGTTTGCCCTGATATGAGTGTAAGATATTTACTTTCAGAATCATTCTTATGTGATGATGAGAAAGTCAGAATATGTCGAAAAAACATACTTGTTTGTCACATATATTTTTCACTCACTTTGTTTTATGCATAACTGACTGAAGGCTACAATCTCGATGACTTTGGATAAAATAAATGAATAAATGTATCTCTAATCTCTGACTAAATGTATCACCAGTTTATTGAAATTCTAAATGTGGCTGTCTCTCTCTCTCTCTTTTTGTTTTACAGGACCTCCAGTAAGTAGACCAGACACCTTGAGTGATCCAGGCAGGGTTAAGTAATATATCTCTGCATGTGGGCGGGTGTGAAATGGGTGAACTGACTTCTCAAACTTCAATTATTATAAGACTGTGATAAATATTCATCATATATTATATAATGTCACATTTAAGTCACTGACCATTTTTATTATTCCATGCCATTGCTAATGGGATCATCTCTATCACTGTTTACACCTAATTTGACATCTGCCAAACTACCATGTTGGTTAAAGAGGCAGTTCTTACTTATGATCAGTGAGAAAGATACAGAGGCTGGTATGAGTGTGCAGAAAGAGACATAGGCTGTCACTAGCATAGCGCTTTTCTACCTTGGGTACTCAAAGCGCTTCACGCTGTTACCTCTTCACACGCAGCACCAGGAGCAACTAGGAGTTCAGTACCTTGCTCGAGAACACTTCGACATGGCTGCAATGGCTGGGGATCGAACCCACCAATGACCACACTACCACTGAGCCATGCCGCCACCCAGATTTTGATTTCCACCAAAGTCATTGTTTTTTGGGGTTTTTTTTACATTGGTTAAGAATCAAACGTTAACCTTTTATTTGCCAAGTGGTGCCTTGACTTACGAGTTCCGTTCATTTCATGGCCACGCCTGTACTCATAATACTTGCATCTCAAAGCATCTTTCCCGACTGAACTGAATAGAAATGCGATTAATTGGCTCCTGTCACACATTTAACACTACAGTATAAAATTCTAATATTTTTTTGTGACGTAAAAAAAGAGCAGTCTAGAGTAACATAGTCAAATAAAATGAAAATAAAGAAACAGTTTGTCATAATTTCATGCTTTAGTACATTGCTTCCACTTGTGTGCACCTTGGCCACCAACATGTATGTATGTATTGATTCAAAGAAGGTCACAACTGCTCAGTCGGGTAGAGGAATATTAGCTGTTGTTTGCAGAGGATAAAGAATATATGACCACGAGTAATGTTTTAGTTGTTTGTCTCCATCGCTTCACTGTTTTCTGTTCTTGCTTAAAGGTTTATAACAATGCAAATTTTACGTTTCATTTGCTTGTCTGTGGTGTTTTGCAGTATGTTAGCATTAAACTAGCTAAAATTGTCGCTAAATAACAAGTAAATCTATAAGTTTTACATTAAACTTAAACAGGAAGTAGCAATAAATACATAGATACATAAACTGGAAGCATGCCCTTTTTTTCTATCCATTATCTGTAGCTATCAAGCAATTAAAAATTTTATTTTCAACAATACTGTATGTCACCTTTAAGGCATTCAATAGCATCATGTAATGCCAACCCAGAAAATGAGCTAAGCCAGTAAACATGATATTTATCTGGCATCTGGTCTGCCTTTGGCTGCGGCTCTGAGAAAGGTCACCACCTCACTGACATGATGATGTCACATCACAGAGCAGGCACCTTGGCTTTGGGCAACGTCACTGCAGATGTGTGCAGACTCAATTCATGACACCTTTGTTACTGACGTGAGTGTTGTGTGAATAGATTTGTGTTTAGACTGTGATCGTGCCTAATGCAAATAGTGGTGTAATGATACGCTTTTGGATGAATACGATCCATATCGATATGAGGTCTAAGGATTCAACACAAAGCGATATGTTACACATTTTAACTTTACAGTTCAATACGATAAAGGTTTTGTTTGTCAATTTGTGGTGTGAAACTGTAGAGCAGTGTGAGTGAGGAATAATTTCCAAACATTTCAAAAGAACGTAGGAAAATATGTTGCTGGGAAAGGGAATAGATATACAGTGTGAGATACTGTATTGAGAGAAGAACGAGTATGAGGTGCGTGCGGGCAAAAGTGGATGTACACAATCCAAATATGAGGTGCATATTTATTTTGCGTACACACAAACCCAATTCCAATGAAGTTGGGACGCTGTGTTAAACATAAATATAAACAGACTACAATGATTTGCAAAACATGTCCAACCTATACCGTGTTGGCCCAAATATAAGACGGTGTTTTTGCATTGAAATAAGACTGAAAAAGTAGGGGTCGTCTTATATTCGGGGTCTAGACATTATACCCATTCACGACACTAGATGGCGCCAGATATCAATGAAGCGAATTCTGAACTTGACTCCCCAGGCCAAAGTGAACCCCTGCCACGAAGGATAAAAATAAAAATAGCGGTAGCACGAAGAAGAAAAATAAAAAATAGCGGTAAGAAGGAAAAGAGAAGAAAATAATAGAAGAGATAACAGAAAATGGAGAAACATAGCGACAATCTGGAGAAAAGTGGGTCGAAGATCGGCCAGGTTAACCGGTAGCTGAGGAGAAGTTATGATGTCGTTTACATTTCAAAAACCAGAAGCCATTCATTTACGAATGTGATTGCACTTTAGTTTACATATTTAAATGTTCAGATATTAAGATTGAATGAGGCAAAATAACATGCTTTTTCTCTCAAATATATTGTTATAATCATTTGTTTCAGATGTAATGTAATTATTTTCTGTATAAAAATTAATTTGGTGTTCAAAAAGTCTTTTTTCAAACTTGACTCTTGAAAAAGAGGGGGTCGTCTTATAATCAGGGCCGTCTTATATTCGGGCCAATACAGTATTTCATTGAATTCACTCCAAAGACAAGCTAATTCATGTTCAAACTTTATTATAATCTTTCGTGTTTTTAGCAAATGATCATTAACTTAGCATTTTATGGGTGCAAAACATTTGAACATTATATATCTTGTCTTCGTAGTCTCTATTACGATTGTATTTTACCAATGTTTTTCGTTATGTGTCCTGTTGTATTAGTGTTATTTTATGTTAAGTGTTTTGTAAAATGATTTGTTACAGCTAAAGCTGCTTGGAAAGCGCCATTTTAAGAAATAGTATTGTATTCTATTTAATATAGGTTTAAAATGATTTGCATATTATTGTATTCTTTTGTTAAACACAATGACCCAACTTCATTGAAAAGGTGTTTGAATGTAAATGTATTTTGGTCTGCAATTTTTGATTTTGTATTTATCTTGGTGATGTGAAGCGAGCTGTAGGATCTGAAGAAGTTTGACATCTCCACACACCTTTTTGGACTACCAGTACATATTGGTTTCATTTGGAATTTTTATATTGTAGATTTTTTTTCTGTTTTAGTTTGGTGTGTTTTTAATGACAGCATGCTCAAAATGAACTCAAAGCTTCAACTTCAACTCCAAATAAATTATCGTATAAATTATGAGAAAAAAATGCAACATTGATATCATAACAACCTAGTTGTCTTAATATTCAACCATAAACAAATGCAACAGAAGAAATTAGTTCTCTTTTTCAATTAACTTTACTTATTATCATAATAAGCTGTTTTAAAATGCAATAAAACATCAACATGAATAAACCTTTTTGATAAGGTGCTTCATATATGTGAAAAATAATCAGCATTCTCTTTTGTGGAACACACTAATATAGATAGCATTTAAGTCCGATATTTTCACATTTAGTTAACATGCTGCTGTGATTGTTGTGTATTAATAACAATTGTATCAAACAGTAAACAATTTTGCCAAAGGCTAACATATTCTTTTTCAAAAATATTAGCTGATCTACATGTGTCTGGGAGAAAAACACAACCCTAACCCTAACTTTTCTGTGCGCTCTCAATTGACCTCATTTACAAACCACGCATACGCACTACATTGTGAACAAAACGTGCGTGCGCAAGAATAAGTAATTATTCGTGTATGATGAAATTTATGATCGACTTTTTGAATAAATAAGGCAGCAACTCATATTTAATCCATGCCACTACCAAAAGCTGTTGATTCTTCAGGTTTGTTACCGTTTCATGCCATGGGGCCGTCCAAGATGCATCCACAAACCGGTGTGTTCCCATTACATTTCAATCGGCAGACGATCTCCTTTCTTGCAAAATGCAGTGTTTCTACCGAAATGAAGGTATTGTTCCGTCTTAAAATATTACTCCTCGTCGCCACCAAAATCTGTGTTGCGTGCCTTACGTAAAACCCCGCTGGCGAACGGAGAGGGAATGTACGAACAAAAAATGAAATATGGTTGATTAAAAATAACACTCAAACGTGAATTTTAAAAAATGGTATTAGGAGTTTTTGGTCGAAATTGTGAATTAGATTGATTAATTGATTAATAAATATTATGTTGCTGACGTGTGAGCAGCATCGACATACACTAAATCCAACGTCGACGAATGTAGCATGGCGTGTTGATACGTCAATTAAATGGATTTATGGTTACAACCCTAAATGCAAATAAGCGTCACCATAAGGTTAAGTTTACTATTGTGATGTTTTTTTTCCCCAATAATAATTTCATTGTTACTCTGAATGAATGAACGAATGAAGGACTACATTCTTTAATCGTAAAGTAGCAAGATTGTCTATTTGTTATCATGACCGCTTTTCATTGATGGAGTGGGAAAAATGACAGGAAAAATTCTGATAATACAATGTAGCATGGAGTTTGAAAATGTTAGTAGGCACACACGAGATACAGTTTAATCTTTTGAGTCTTTCACAGTCCTTAGAACTAATGCATTAAATGCAAAAAAAAAAAAACACGTTTTGGACAAATATAATGAGATATGCTTGATATATGGCATATTTCCAATTGAAAATGATATGGAGCTCTTGATGAAAATAGTTGATGTACTTGATGTCTAATGCTATGTTATTCATGGAGGGAAAAGGGGTAAAAAAAAGGTCTGACAATGTACAATATCTTTCATCTAACATCAAACTTTCGCACAAAGGTAAACGGAAATTAAAATCAAGCAAAACTGGTCAAAGCGCCCTCATGCATAGACACGTGCATACAGTTTATAAATCGACATGAAAGCACAGGTGTGTATCACTTTCCTCAATCAACCATCATTGCATTAGTAGCTTTTTGAAAATTGTCAAGAGTTCCTGTTTAGACTTCCCGCCAATTAGCCAGCCTTACATCCTTCCCTGAAGAGCTGTTTGGACAAAGAGCACTGATTTGTGTTCCGCTAGGAGAAAAAATAGCCACTTGGCAGTACATAGCGTGGAAACCAGTGAAATCCATTGTATTCCAACAGAGGCTACTTTGCTGACGTGGAATATAGTCAAGTGATTTGGCGTCAGTTAGTTTAGATAAGTAAAGGGCTCATTGTGCAGGGGCATGAGGGCATTCAGAAAAATGATGCATGTTTTCATCCAAAACCATTCCTTGCATGACATTTTGTAATGAAACAAAGTAATGTGTTCTTGAATTGAATCATAACAGAACGAAATACAGGACAGCTGTCTATATTGCATGTGAATCTGAGCCGGAATATTTCTAATCATGATTTGAATGTCACACAGTCTTCAAGATTAGTTATTTTGGTTCAGTGCATCAAGTTATTCTTCATAATGTTTACTTCATCTGTATGATTCACTCTTCCTTTTTGTACCATCATTTCTCTCACTCCTTTTTTCAGGGTCCTCCTGGACGTGCAGGCTTCCCGGTAACTTGTGTTTTTTTTTTTTTTTAACATTTGCCTTTTTGTTTCTACATCTGCATGAAGGCATAGCAATCACTTCAATGTTGATCTCTTCATTCACCCTCGATTAAGTCACTACAGAATCAATACTAAAAATAGATTCACAGCCATTTACATGACAAAAAGAAAATGCTACATTTGCAACTGTAAAACACAAATGAAGTACCGTATTTTTCGGACCATAGAGTGCACTTGAAATCCTTTAATTTTCTAAAAAAAATTGACAGTGTGCCTTGTAATTATGTGTTTTCCTATGCATTTGTCATCTTTAAATCAAATTCATTCCTATTACGTTCGCTTTGTCATTCTTACCCACATCGAATCACTTACAGAGGTCAATGGCGGTGTCCAAATTCACAGGCCGCGCCCTGCAAAGGCCGAATTTTCGCATGACGTCACTTCCGGCGTGAGTGGACTGCACAAAGTTTCCAAATTCCAGAAAGACAATTTAGAAGCCAGGTGCTTCAAAACCTTCAAAGGCTCCTCCTCATCTAGCCTCTGTGGACTGCATTAACTGTGGTGAATTTGGACACCACGTGTGGTCATGTCGTTCTGGAAATGACGTCATTCGGAGGACCCAGCCTGTGAATGTGGACATCGGGTATACGTTTTTGTCTGACTGAAATGAGGACTACTTCCTGCTCTATGTCTTAGAATCAGGGAAATGTAGTCCTACTGACCTAATGTGAGCTATTTCCGGCGGCATGTTTCCAAAGTTACGATATGGCACAATATCAACGTGGTTTGTGGGATACAGAGACATACGTCAATTTCCTTCCTATTTACTTTAACATGAATGTTTTGCGTTCTTATTCTCATCCACATCTAATCGCTAGCAGACGTCTGTTTTCATCATACCAGAACGAGAACTACTTCTTTCCTTGGTGTCATGGAATGTAGTGCTAGACTATTCCTGCAGTTGCCACTTCAATCTAACGCAGTGGTTCTTAACCTTTTTAGAGATACCGAACCCAACCAGTTCATATGCACATTCACCGAACCCTTTATTAGTGAAAAATAAACACATGATTTTTATTTTTTTTTAACAAATTCAAGACATAAAAAACACATTTATTAAACGCAGAAAAAAAGTAAACACAATTAGTTTCAGTATAAAGTATTAAGTTTTTTAATTGTGCACAAAATGAACCAGCCGGTGATGGCCAAGCGGGCATGTCATAACTAATTGACATGTTGAGTCAGGTGTATCTTAACCTCCATGGCAGAGTCTCCGTCGAACCCCTGAGACTGAGTCACCGAACCCCTAGGGTTCGATCGAACCCAGGTGAAGAACCACTCATCTAACGCAAGGGACCAGACCCGGGTGATGCAAAGGACACAGCCAGCCTCCAATAGCCATAATGCGGAGGGCATTGACTTGTTTACAGTTATTGAACTGTCAACCAAGATCACATTTAGCATAAGCCAAAATTATAACACAACCGACGGTCACCAGATGGACGAGCGATGTTCAACCTTTTTTTTCCATCTGTTGGAGGATCCCCTCCGCTTTGAAGGAAACTCCATGTAGTTGTACGCCGAACAAAAGCAAGAAAGACACGTGGCGCGACCAATGCTTTCAACCGGCCTGAAACTAGCATAATGGCGCTAAAACTATCAAATAAACATACGCTACAGTTAGAATAAACAATTTAACAAGCATTGTTTCACAAAAATGACGCACTTTTTTAACCCATTGTGGCTTGTGTTTGATTTTTAAAAAAGGCCGTTCATTGATATTGCACCTGTTAATATGGTGCGTCTAATGGTCCATAAAATACAGTAATTTTTTTTCTCTGTGGGAACAGTTACACACATTTATGATAAATACATTTTGCTGAATCTGAATCTGGAAAATGCTCTGATATTATACATTCTTATGATATGCAATTAATTACGCTCAAAGAATACATTGCTACGGCCATACTTATGGTTATGGTTAATGTGCACAAACACTCTGCAAAGAAATTTAAAAGGGGAAATCAACCCCAGAATTTGTTTTTAACAGCAGTATATTCTATGCACTCACCTGTTTTCTGAAGCTGAGCCATGACTGGTTGTTACCTGAGCCCCAAGCAACCGTAATGTCATTTTCAGTGGACAGAAAGTTGCAAAATGGCTGCCCGCTGAGATTGACACAAAAAGGTGGATTTTACTGCTTAGCTCATATTCCAAAAAGGCAATATGAATCAAAATGCAGTGTTTAGACTAGTGAGGCTATATAGAACATATTATTGTCAAGAAAATGATTGGGTTGATTTCCCCTTGCAATAGAGGTTTTTAAAAACGTGATAAACACATTTTTTTTTTTTTTTTTGGTCATGCCATTCTATTGTGTAAAGACTCTTTCTAATTATCCCTTAAATCAGGGGCCACCAACCTTTTTGCCCCACGGACCGGTTTATGTCAGACAATATTTTCAGGGACCAGCATTTAAGGTGTGGTGGAAATAATACAACAAAATAATATGGTATGAGCTGCATGAAAACTGTGGTGTTTTCGAAATATAATAATAAATACAAGGAGCGTCTAATCTGGCCGCAACACTCCGATCGCTATGGCAATGTTTAATGCCTTCAAAATACGATACAACGCAAAGTCAAAGTGCATGAAAATGACGACTCACCACAGCACCGAGCTTGATTTTCTGCAACCAGACGGTCCCATCTCGGGGTAACAGGAGACAATGGCACCTCAAGTGTGTGGTTTATGTCCAGTCTACTTCGTAA